TGTTTCATATGTATGAGTATTTTGTCTGTATGTATGTATGCCATGCCCATAGAGATAAACTTTTTTGGGGGGGTTCATTTCTATTCTGAAATTAAGCCATTGCTCGTTATTAAACTAATTTATATATGTGGTGCCTGGCAGTAACAGCACAATCAGTTATATGCTTTTTGTCCTAATCACTCAGAGTAAAATGCTGCTCCATAAAAATCTTAGGATTGCTCTATGTCATTAAGGCTCACCTTGGAAGAAGGGTAGCATCAGAACACTTTCTAATTGCACTGTGTACCCAAAACTATTAACAAGGAAGACTGAAGCATCAAGAATCCATGACACCACAGCCTAATGCATCCTTGAGGTTATTTCCAAAATAATCCAGCTATTCACTTGTCTCAAGAAGGTAATATAGGAACCAAGTACCAGAAGAAGACAGAAATAAGCTATGTCTTCAGTAAATGTATAAAAATCTGCCAGTGGAGAGATGGTTCTTATTTAAGAGTACTTCCTGCTCTTCCAGAGGACCCAAGTTCAGGTCCCAGTATTCACATCATGGGGCTCACCTGTAAACTCCAGCTCTAGGGTAACCTATACGCTTTCTGGTTTATGTGGGCCTAGCACGCCCTGTCATATACACATACACACACAAAATGAATACTTTAACTGAGTAAGAAACCATTAAATTAGTCCAAGGTAAAGAGTGACAGATTAGAAGTTAAGACGTCACAATTAACCTGGATAGCATTGAAAAAAAAAAAAGCACGATTACTATTAATAACCAAGTAGCCTTCAATCATCAAATGGTTTTGCTAGACAATGGAAAATGGCACTCAGCACTGTTCCAGACAGCTTTTAGTAAGAAGTTAGCAAGCACAGGTCAGAATCTGAATTCTATTTCCTTTCCTCATTTCTTTCATAGAATACTGAACAAAACACTACAATTTTTTCAAATTCAAAACTTGCAAACTATTGCAAAAGGTGCAGGATGATACAGACCCTTCATGAAAAGACTGCTCATGTTGTACAGGAAAAAAAAAAAAAAAACAGAGATGATCGAATGGACATGTTCCCACTGTTATTTCTTCAAAGATCCCTAGAAATTGATTTATTAACACAATCATTAAAGTATTAATTTGTTATAAATTTTCAATAACATCTGCTTTTCATTGCCTATGGGTCTGAAGTTCCTCATAGTCTAGCACTTCTATAGTTTACTTTTTATTCATTTGTTTTGACAGAAGGAAGAAATGCATTTCTGAGGATCTTTATTTCCTTTTTAAAAAATACTTTTTCTATGGCAGTTTGTTTTCTTTCTCTACCTCATCAATGATGTCTCCTCTTTGTTACCAATGTTGTATCACTTTCTCCTAACTCTAAACTCTGATGTGGCCAAAGAACATAAGTAAAAAGTAAACTAAACAAAAACACTAAAACACAGAAAACATTCTGGAAAGTCTCAACTCATTCAGAACCTGAAACATAAAATGTAACTCTGCCACCAATCAATAAACATTCCAGTTCTCACTAAGGACTAAGACACTTCAACAAGGAACTGGCTCATTTTCTGTATCAGCTAAGATAAATCATAGAACCAACGTCAGCCTCAATGTCATATTTTGCTCTGTTCATCTTTCTAGTACTTGTTCAAGGAAAGACGTGGGTTTTGTTTAATGCACTGTTTTTATCATCCACATTTCCCACTGTTCTATAATCATTTACAACTTTTCAGCTCCATCAACTTTCTCAACTTTCAAATCTCACCTTTAGCGTTAAGCAATGTCTCCAGCTTGCTTCCCTAGACAACTGAACTAAGCAGGCAGAATTTCTGTTTCCATAGCCTGCTACTCCATGGGATCCATGTCAACTGTTTGCTGTATTTTGTGATAAGATAAGGCTTCATATCAGTCACCTTTATTTTCCCAGACAGTAGTGGAAATATACTGTGTATGCAATACAGATTTCCTAGGCTCCAACTGCAAAGACTAAGCTGACTGGTAGGTTGTGGTGGAAGCCAATATGTACCAGCTGTTCCTTGGTCTCTGGTGTCAGCAATTGGCTCTCCATCCAGATAGCACCCTGAGTTTGTTATTCTTAAGCCTGAGGATAGATGTTATGTTCTCCAGGATGTCTCCCTGAGTTACTAAACCTAAGTTAGGCACCCAGCCTGTCACAGAACATTCTGACAAGCATCCCTGTAAAAGTTACCCAAGTAACTGTGTTGCTTAAGAGTAGTGACACATTCTGCATCTTCTCCTTGAACATCTGCCACATTGCCTGGCACATTATGTTTGCTCAAAGTGTATCTGCTATGTGTAGGGCTGTGATGATTGAAAAGATGATAATTATAATACACACTGATCAAACTCTGGATGTTAAATATGTATCACTCTTTTTCTTTTTTGGTTTTTGTGAGTCAAGGTATTACCATGTAGTCCTGGTTAGCTTGGAGCTCACTATGTAGAGCAGGTTGATCCAAAACTCACAGAGATTGTCCTGCCGTAGTCTGCCAAGTGCTGAGACTAAAGGTGTGTGCCACCATACCTAGCTTCTACAACTTTGTATATATTCCAATAAAGTGTTTCCAAAAACAGGTTTATCTGTTAATAGTAATAAAACTAAGAAAGAATAAAAAGTCAATACATACAGAAATATAATCTTACACATGTATTAAATTTACTTTGATAAATAATGGGCTGACATTGTATTTTCACTTTTAATTTTCAGAAACTGAAAAAACGATTAGACAAAATGATGACCTTATCTCAGTGAATTTATTTTACTAGTAACATTTTGAAAATTCTATTACTTGTGCTGAAACCTGCCATCGTTTTTATCAAATAAACCTCAACTGAAGGTCTGTGAAGGAAAGATTGACTTGGCTGAGTCTAAAGTGGGTCAAAATTACTATTTTAATCCTGAGTGAATGCCACATATTATAGTTCACTAAATTTTATTCTATCACTATTTTACACCTTAAAACTTTTTTTTCTCATTATTTTCTTTCATTTTTCAAGATATTGGGGACACTTTTATTGTTTTGTGTCATTGAAAAAGGGACTTGCTATTAACCCAGGCTATCTGCAAGTTTCCAATCTTCCTGCCTCAGCCTTCCCAGTGCTAGGATTATAGGTGTGTCATCACATCTGGCTGGAAAGTGGCGTTCTAGACTTACTGTTTAAATGTCCCATCCCATCGTGTCCTGGATCAGGTTTCCTCTTTATAAGAAGCAATTCTCTGTATCATCCATGGACTCTACTTATTTCAACCTTTCTGTTTTATCTTTTGTTTCATATTTTCATGTTGTTGCTTCAATGTTCTGTCATTCCCTATAAAACCATTGCTGTTCTGCTCACTCCTAGATTTGTGCCGTTGGTGCCAGTGAGCTCTCCTTAACCCACAATTCTAACTGGATAGCTCATACAAAGATTCCATTTAAAAATACATATGTGCTGCCAAGTTTACCAGTGAGTTCTTCTTGATATTTCACATCTTTCAATGAGTAGTAATCTTGTCCATTTTGTACCTTATTTCCTCTTGGTATTTCACCCCTCCAAATGAATAATAATACTTTCCATTTTGTCATCTAAGCTCACACCTGAGCCATATGTGAGATTTCCTCTGATCTCTATAAAGAAGATGCTGACCCCTGCTGCATTTCTACCTTAGTGTCCCTCAGTTCCCCCGGCCTCCTGTGTGGACCAATATTTCTCTTACTTTGTTGTTTTATAATTTGTCAAATGTCAACTGACTGTGTGATGACTTCTCAACAATTTTCTCTACCATTTTTAGGAGCTCCAGTCATCCCAGCAGTATAAGAACTATGTACAAAGGCCTTTATGTACAACATCAAATATTTCCTAACAATTTCATCTTAACTTCATCATGCTATACAGTAAAAAGAAAAATGCATTCTCTTCCTCAAATATGTAATAGTTGTATCTGTTATGCCACAAGATATTCAGTAAATGGCTCCTAAAATGGAAAGATAAGAGTGAGGCATCACATAACTAATGTCACTCTGGTTCTTACATCCAGAGCTCTAGAGGGTTTCTGCTGTCTGCAGAATACAGCTCCACCTGCTAAGCACAACATGACTCTTGTCTGTCTCACCACTACCCTCCCTGTCCCATCTTGTCCAAGTGCTCTGGGCTCCAGCATCATATCACCAATTGCTGTCCTCAATAAAGTGTAGCCCCTTGACATGTAACTTTCTGTGTCTCAAATTTTGACCTTCAAAATTATGTTCAGAAATTCAGTGGACTCATTTCATCCTAGCATGGTCATTCTTGAGAATAACTTACATTAGTGTCTGTCTTTTCATATATCCTACTCTATGCCTGGCTCACTGAAGACAGGGGCAGCATCCTTTCCAGCATCCTTCAATGATATTGTCTGTTTATCTATTTGCTATGAAACCAGCTAAGTATATGTCTTTGGACAAACTTCTCAACTGAGTGAACTTAATGGCATACTTCCCTTCTCCTGGCTTTTACACTACATTCTATGTTGCATTTTCTAATTTTTTCCTTCAATGTTATTTTGTACTTTAAGTTGAAGTCTCCCTATATTATAACACACAAATAAAATCTAAATATCATACATTACTTTCAATTATTTAAATTATTCAGTTATTTCAATTGTAGTTTCTTTCAGCCATTTGTATATTTTAGTACATTCTTCAGTTATAACAAGTATTGTTTTTCCAGCTTTCAGTCAATTATCAACTGTATTCTATATACTACATTAAATTGCATTTTAGCAACTTGTAATCTCCCTTTCAAAACAATATGGCTGGAACAGAAAAAAATGCATTGTTCCATTGGAAAGACTGTGTTAACAGAATATACTCACACAACCACACAGAGATTGGGATAGAACTAAATAGTTAAACGATGAGCCTACACAGAAGAATCTTCCATGTTATAGTCAGAGATCCATTCTTCTGTAACTACAATAATACTGAAATGAAGGCTCTGTATTTACTTGCCTTTCTCTTCTTAACTTACTTTATGTTTTCATTTGCAGGAACATCAGGCAATTGTACAGTAATCATGCCATCCAAGTTGGTCTTCCCAATGAAGGCAGGCTTGGTACGGAGTAAATCTGGAGCAGTCTTTGCAGTTACCCTATGCTGTAATCCACCAGCACTGTTCCCACGATTGGTTAGCACAAAGGAATATGATTTCTCAGGCTTGAGGTTAACAATTAACTTCTGGGTAGCTCGGCCATCTACTTCTTCTACCATTTTTCCATCATCATAAAGAATCTAAAAATATACAACCAATCACGAATTGATTATAATTTTCTAAACCATGTTTTATTTACTTGTTTTGTCAGGTCATTCTATTTCTGGTCAATTCCTAATTCCATAAGTATTTGTAATTCTGGTGACTATATTGATTATCTTTGATAGTCCTTAGTGTGTAAAGGTAAAATGTTCCCACTTCTCTCAAAAATGCACAACAACAACAAAATGTACAGTAATTTTTCAAGATTTAACCTGTCAGTCAAGTGTGATCCTAATGGACTATGTTCTAGGTTTTCAATGTATATATGCATGATTTATCTGGAAGTTTTAAATCCTGTTCTAACCATTTCATTTGCGGCTTTTTTGCAAGATCTCAAAGGTAAGACAGAGCTTTATTTCTACAACAGTAGGAATTCAGACCAATAAATACAATCTTAACAATTTTCCAGAACTTTACATTATGATGTAGTAGAAATCCTGATAATTCTTTACTTCTATGGAAACAAAAAATAACAGTTTAATGTAAAAAAGTTAACAGTTCAATGTACTAGGTACCATGTAAGTCTTGCCAGTTGTGGCTTTTAGTGTTTGCTTATTCTCCAGAATGGAAAGACCACACGGTCAAAGAACCAAATGCAACTCTTTCATGAAAGTCTTTCACAGATAAGAATAGAACTCATGAGCCTCAATCATTTTTTGTTTTGTAGTACAGGAGGAATAACCCAGGGCCACACAGGTGCTAGGTGAGTGCTCTAGTACTGAACTACCCCAAGCCCATGTGTCCAAATTGTACTTTTCTGTATTTGTTACACATAATGTGCCATCATGAGATGAGGGGTCCCTTCTTTTTGTCACCATGTCACCTAAAGAACACTTACTTTGAAAGGCATAGCAGAATTATAATTCTCTGGAATCTCCCAAGACAGCAGCACTGATGTCTTCATAACTGCTTTGACATGAAAATTTTTTGCAAACACTGCTGGAAAAGGAAAAACTATGTATTTAAACTATTCTTAAAGCGTCTAACTTGTTCTTTTCCACCATGGATCATAGTGCTTATGATAGGTACTGCCTACATAGAACAAAGAGAAAAATGTGACTTGCCTACCTGTTTCAGAGCATTCATTTTAATACCCATTCTCACAAAGCACTTGTCTTTGTCTCCAATTCAGTCAACTATCCTCTGTTTCTCTTACCTGAGGACATACGGTACTGCCAACCAGACTTGCAGTAGCATTCTATAACTGAAATCTACGATTTTCAAAATGGATTGAGTCATACATACTTTACCTGCTTGTAGTGCTGAACCTATTAATATGAATGGGCCGATCAGTTATTTACAGCTTCAAAATATTGATTTCCAAAGATTGACATTCCTTTAAAGGAGGAAGGCCATAAGCAGACAAATCCTACCTTGATCCACAGGCAGTGTCCTGAACTGGACACTGGGACTATATGGCCCGGGCCCTTTGCTCGTGTGAGCACGTACTTTTACATCATATGTAGTATCTGATTTTAAGCCAGTGAGTGTCACAGAGGTGTCAGCTGGAACAATAAGGTGCTCCATTGGTAGAAGGGGAATGTTGATATCCCTATACAGGACGGTATATTTGGTGATGACTCCATTTCTCTCTGCCAGAACAGGTGGTTGCCAAGATAACTGAACAGAGGTTGAAGTAGTGCCTTCGGAGTGGAGGTTTTGAGGAAATCCAGTTGGCATTTCTTCTGGAACAGATATTTCTTTCACCATTTCCTCCCCAAAGCCCACTTTGTTTCTGGCTGAGAGTCTGAAGACATATGATGCACCCTTGTGGATGTCTGTGGCTGTAAAGTGGTCTTCTTTCTCAGAAAATTCAAGAGTAGTGAGTGGCTCCATGTCTTTCCTGCCAAACTTTAGTCGGTAGCCCTGAAGGGGTCCAAATGTGTCCACAGGGGGGTGCCACTGAATGAGAGCTGTATTCATTTGAGTGTGGTTAATTACAAGCCGGGGTCTCCCTGGAACTAGAGCACACAGGATGCAATGGTAAGGATGACTGTCATTTATGATCACATGTCAGGTATTGCCAAGTCAGGATGTCACTCTGCTAGTATTCTCCTTTCAGTATTTATAAACAAAACAATGCTTATCCTACATACCATTGTCAAATAGTCTTCCTTTTCTTTCTTTATTAAAGTAGGCTGACACAAAATTTGGTATTGAACAACTTTTGCTCCTCAAGGACTATGCTTCACATAGTGAAATGAATCCAAGTAATGATTAACAAACTAGATATAGCTAATGAGAGGCATAACTACAATGACTAATTACTATGCACAATGCCCTAGTATTGCCAAAAGAATATCTTACATAGTATGTCTTAGATTTAAACACTCACTCCTCACTGTATGCTCTAGGTGGTTACTATCATCTTCCTTTTCTATAATGAATAAGAAGGCCAGAGAACTGGAAACTTTCTAAGGTTAGGTGTACAAGTGAGAGAGCTGTAGAACATACCCAGAACCACAGGCCACACCCTCACCTATGAATCCATTTGTGCTTTCTTGTAACTTCTCTGTCTCCACATGTTACCCTTAGGAAGTTCTACATCTTGTTATTGTGAATTATTAAATGAAGGGGCACAGATAAAAGATTTTCATTAACATTAATCATAATTATCAGAGCAATGGACTTTTTGTGTTTAGGAACTACTTTTCTCTGAGGACACACTTCAAGTTAGAATATATTTATATGAAGATATGCACTGTGATCATACAGAGCCTATTCCATCTGGTATTTCTGGTGGATAAGGCAACTATGATTGGAGTTGATAGCACAGGCTAGAGTTGCATCAGGAGTTGTCTTAAAAATGTGAAAGTGGGGGAGAGGGGCTCAAACAGAAGTGAGCTAAATCAATAGAAAGAAAAGAAAAACTAACAGGGTCAAGGGAGAGCATACACTTCTGGGAGACAGGGCATGAAGAGGTGCATCACAGAGACGTTGACTGTAATTGTAAGAAAAACATAGGCAGATGATGAAGCAATAGGCAATCCAGGAATCCTGCATGCTATCTGGTTAACAACCTCATTTTATATGCTAGAAAGTTGAAGCCCAAGTGGATATGAGGTCTGTTCAAGGGTATTTCTTTAATCCCTGGAGTAATAGCTGCCATTCATATACATCGGTGATTCAGAGTGTATATGTAAATCAGAGAACCTCCAACATATCAAAAAAAGTTTATAAGTTTGGAACTGATATATGTATGCTAGTGTTTGGCCAGAACTGTACCCACTGTGAATTCACTATTTTGGGGGGAAATATATTCTTAACAAGTTCACATTGAACTAGGAGATTTCAGAATGCAGTTTTTTTTAAAAAATAATTTCATGCAACACACAAAACTTCATGTACAATAGGGTTTACATGGTTTTTCCATCATAATGTGAATCTCTGCCAAGAAAAAAACACCATGGTATCATTAGTGCTTCAAGCAGAGAATATATATCTTTCAATAAACAAAACCTACTCAAAACTATGAAGTGGGTATGTAATTCTTAGTCTCACATGATTTAGGTACTATCAATTTTGTTAAATATATTTATTAACCTTTTCTAGAGTTCAGGTTCTAAGAAACCACATAATCGTATGTATTTTGCCCCCCTTGCTTCAGTAAGAAACATGAAAGTGAGCAAAAATGAAAATACTATTACATTTTTGATAAAAGTACATATAGATTTGCTAGCAGTATATGATTTTTATTATTATCCAGCTAGTGATTCAATTTAAAATACTGTTAATGCTCAAATTAGCAAAGAATATAGTAGACCAGTAAATTATAAACAATAATGGGAACCTAGTGAAGATATAAAATTGCTCTTCTGTAGGAGTCAAAGCTAAGATAGAAATATATAGACTCTTTTTCAATGTTGCTACATGCCATAGTATTCTGTTATGAAAGGCTCTTAGGCTGGAAACCACGTGGTCTAATAATGTTCTGCAATTCCCAGCATCAGTTCTCATGCACTCTCTTGCACTAGAGTTTCCACAGCATCTTGAATTTGTCCAAAGTATTTATTTGTTTTCCAGGTAGAAATATAACTAAGCATAAGAACTCCGAGGCAGCTATTGGAAACAACATAACGTACCATGTGAAGAACTTATTAAAGAAGTGAATGTTGAAGTCTTTAGGAGACTGCCATCTATGACAGCCTGGCCACATGGAGGGAAGCCTAAATTCTCCACAATGTATAAGAAAAACAACACGTGGAGTTTAAAGAACTTTGGACAATGCCTTTAAAGGGTTGTTATATTCTACCAAGAGAACGATAGGATATTAACCCCAGGAACATGGGTCTCTGTGAGGAAACCTCGGAAATCTACAGGGCTTCCTGTAGAAGTTCAGTACTTATCCCTAGCATAGGTGTGGACTTTGGGAGTCTATTCCACATATAGGAATGCTCCTTGAGCCATGACACACAGTGGTGGACCTAGGCCTTATCCCAAAGGATAAGATAGACTCTGATGACACCCTATGGAAGGCCTCACCATCCAGGGGGAGCAGAAAGGATATGTGATAGATAGGGTTTTAGTTGGGCTGGTGGTGGTAGGGGAGGACGGGAGGGAGAAGGGAACTGGGATTGTCATTAAAACAATCCTGTTTCTAATTCAAATAAAAAAAGTTGAAAAAAAACCAAGTTCTATATCACTCCATATATTGTGAAAAAGAATTTGTCAAAGGTTCATATAATGGCAATAGAACCACTTCATTTGGGACACCAAATGGGAAGCATTTACAATTTGCTTGCATTTCACAAACCTTGTATCTGGACATACAGGGATCAGAAAGTGAAGGTTCACGGCCAATTGTGTTTTTAACCATATGCCTACCTACTGATAAAGATTAGGATGTGGAGAAGATGGCACTATATATAGATTCTGGATCAAAGTTCATAGATGATAGTGATGACCACATTTAAAGGTCTGGCCAGTAACATAGTCAGTGTTCTACTTTGTACCTCATTAATGCTTGAGAGGTTAGACAGTGTTAGAGTCTTACATACTCAGAGGAGGGCTAACATCAGGCTTAACAGCATCTTAGTAAACAGTAGAAACAGAGGGCAAGCTACAGAGTCAATAGCTAACATGTCTATGGTGGCATCACCTTTGTGATATGTCAGTGCCGCCTTTTGGGCCTTTGTGACATGTTAATGTCTCTTCTGGCACTTCCAGTTCTTTCCATTATTATATTATTCACTTTCTAAAAATCTTTTAGGGCAGCAGAAATGGTTAATGCATGTGGTTAGCTCAAAATTCTTTTTAAGATCAATGTCTGGAGGTGAACAGAGGCCCTCAGTCTCAATGGTTTTAAACTCAGCCTCTATTTAAATAATTGCAATTCATTGAGCATAGCTAATTGTTCTTAGCCTGTTATTTTCAAATTCTCAATCACTGCCATTTGATCATCTTTAAACACACTGGTCAACAGAATTTATAGAATAATCTACAGAAACTGTCAAATCAATGAATTTTCAAATTTTTTATTTTATATTAAATTATGTTTATATGCAGTGTGAAAGAATGTGCACATGAGTGTAGGTGCCCACAGGGGCCAGAAGAGAGACTAGGATGCTGTGGTACTGAAGGTATTTATAGGTGGTTGTGAGGCACTTGATATGGGTATAGGGAGCTGAACTTGGGTCCTCTGAAAGAGTAATTCCTGCTCTTAATATTAAGCTATTACCCCAGTCCCCCAAACAATGAAGTTTTTGGTTGCCTTAAATCTCAAGGCTTTATGCAGTATACTAGTTATGATAAAGAAAAGCAAGAATATTAATGAAGAAATTACACACACAATAATCACTCAAATACAGAAAAGCCAGCTCCTTGATACAAGAGTTTCCCTATGTCAGACATAAAGGTTGTTTCAGTTAACAGCATACAGTCAAGATTCTTAATGTTAATACAAAATTTCAAGAGAATTCCCAAATTATCCACACACT